CAGAGCCACCCAGAGGCAGAAGTCCTCCAGTCCAATTTGCTTCCTGAGTTCTTGATTAAAGGCGAATTAAGTGGGTGCGCACACCACGAGAGAAATAAAAGCCGTTTGTAATTGTTTTAATGAACTAAAATGGGGGTGACAAGGTTGCGTTGAGGACAAAAGGGGACTGAAAACGAAGCCTTTAGCCCAGGCAATTTTTTTATTATTAATACCTTCCCTCAGGTGGCCCTAAGATAAATCCCTACCTAATCTCCTCTTGCAATTTTTGGCGGGGCTTTCTTTTGAGGCCGCCTAATGGAAATCTGCTTCCTTTATTGACCAATAGGCAGCCTGGTGGTCAAGGGTCGCTCTGATAGTTTTCTCGGTCTAGACGTTTATTTTATAAACCAGTAGGATTGCTCTAATAGTTTTTCGTCTGCGGACAATTACAAATGGCTTTAATTTATTTTATACGGTCCACTTAACACACATTAAACACGAGTTACCTGTTCATTAGCCACCCACTAAATCTTTAATCGCTGATACCCCTAGCTACCCCTAGCTGACCATGGCCAATACAGCCAGAAATAGTTATTCTAGGGTGCCTACCTTTGCCGGAATACTACTGTAACATAAAGATATGTTAGTGGGACTTAATTAGTCACTATACATATTTTCAGGCGGCCTCACAAGAAAACGTTACCCAATCTTCATAGTGGGTCGCCTGATTGAGAGTACAAAAGCGTCCTCCTTTGTGTCCGAACGCCTATTGTTTTTTGCTTGTGTGCGCGTGAGAGCAAGAGGATATATGCTACAGAGGAATATATGTAAATATTATTCAAATGAGCTAGGCGTACATGTTGCATAATAAGTAAATCTATCTCTTTAGGACATGGGGTGGAGGCACACGTCCGCAATCCAAGTGCCTGTTTTGATAGGCCTCTACGCTATTGTCACACCGTATCCTGAGCTATTTGTCGTTTATGTTTATGCTGACCCTTCTTCAGGCCGTTAAATAACACCTGGCACTTTACACCTATCTAGTACACGAACAGCACACATTGTCAGCGGTTGATATTAAACTCAAAGGGCCCACCTCCCTTCCCCCACTCCCTAGTAGGACGAAGTATAGATACCATCCGTATTTCATGGGGGATGGAAGTTTATATAATCCCTGCCTTGCCGAGGCGGGACATAAGAGATTCTCACCGTCATCGGCGCCTTTAAAAGCGTAGTTCCGACAGTGATTCCCCGTCGCTCATTGTCGGTTGCCTGGCT